CAGCCACAAAGTTTTACTTATAGAAAAGAGACTCCTAATAATATTGAGTCATTTAAACAAGATTTATTAAAAGGAGAATGGACTTATGTTTGTAATGTAAATAACGCATACGAACATTTCAATTGTAAGTTATAATATCATTATGATAATAATAGTCCTCTTGTCAGGGGAAAACGTAACTCTAACATTCCAAGAAACCCATGGATTACGAAATGTTTTATTAAATCAATCAGAACAAGAAACTGCATTTACAAATAATATATGCCTAACCCAACAGTACGAATTACAAAAATATCGTAATAAATTGAGAACTATTATTCGATGTTCTCAATTTCTAGCTAGGAATATTACATGCCTGGAATTAAGTGAAAGGTTATACTTGTAGTGAAAATTATTCTGTACAACACACACACACATATATTTATTATCATAGTCTGTGAATATTACGCATAATCTAGATTTTTGTTTACACTTTACACTCCTCGTCTCACTCGGAGGCTAATAAATAAATAAATAAAAATAGGTTAATGAATAGATATAGCACTTTTTCAACAGATAGTTTGGATAATACTTAAAATTATGATAATATGTTATAGAAATATCAAGTTTCATTATTATATGTACATATGTAAAAAAAAAAAAAAAAAAACAAAACAAAACAAAACATATTCACATAAAGTTATTATTGTTTGTATATTTGGTATTATACATTACGTTTATATGTTCTTTGTTTAATATTCTGTTATTATATTTGGAAAAAATGCAGAAATAAAAGTATATATACCAGAGTTGGGTCAACATCTTCCTGAGCCAGCATCCTTGAGTAGATGTTGTGAACCTTCTCGTACTTCATCCTTCCCTGTGGTGTTCAAATGAGAGAATTCAGATCATTAAATTGGCAACAAAATCATGTTTGAAAGAGAGAAAGAAACATGTATAATCAAGTTAATGGCTATCACACTTGAATACAGAACGTTTTTCATTTTCAAATACAACTTAATGGTTTTGATAATACATCAAATAGGCCTACAAAAAAATGAAAGAAAACAAATATATGAACAAAAATACACTGTTCCCCTTAATTCTAGATTTCGCTAAGAGGAAAGATGGCTGCCTTCTTCAAAAGGATCGTCTTGATTAGCTTGACTCTGCTCGCGTGTACCCTAGTTGTATACTTGACTATGCAATCATCGGTAGGGGAAGCCCATACAGGATGGCTGCACGGAGAAGCTCTCATGCGGTTTATACTAGAAGAGAACGAAGACCCTATTGAGTGGTGAGAAGCAAACATATCCCCCACACACAAACACACACCCACACTAACACACACCTTGCGGACAGTGAAAGATTAAAAGGGGAAATATTCCTCTCCCCCCACCCCCCCCCCCCTGACAAAATACAAACTACGGGGGAATTAATTAGTCACTTGGTGACTATCTGATATATTCTTGGAAATCCATGTAATTCGTATATTTTCCCAACACTATTAAGATAAATTAAATGAATCGAAGGCGAAAGTGAATTGTTATCAATTAAAAATAATAAACAGCATTTTTGGCGCACCAGAAGTAAGATAGTGTGAATTAATTAGCATTTTCGAAGATTTAATTACTGCTAAATCTTTCGAATATAATTCGTTTGATTTGCGCCCCACAGAATAATTTATAATTTGCATAATTGTAACGATATTGACGATTCGCTATTGAGCTACTTTGAAAAGTATTTATGGTAAAATGCACAATAAATAGCTTTTCTCTAAGGATGAAAATGAAGAAAAAAATATTCTGCTTTGTCGCTTTGCTCCAATACCCCACTGTATAGTGATTCAAACTTAATGCGAATCTCGGGTTTAGTACATTATCATGTAATGAAAAGCGAGGAAATATGGTTTGTACTTCTGAGCCGATAGAGTTAGGTAGGGGTGGGGCGCAATTTTGTGGTCTTCCCTGGGCACCATAGTCCCCAGATAGGCTAAGACGCTGGAAGTACCATTATATTATTGATGTCATTACTAGAATCATTAAAACAATTACCAGTGGATTTCACATACAGCAAAAAATAGTGATATTCAAAGATCAATCTTTGAGTCGCGAACAGAATATCAATTTTTTTCTTTGTCTGAACATAACAATCTTACCAATATAGAGAGATCCTGATTGCGTTCAAAATGTCACCAAAAGCGCGATAATATGGCCAAGCGTTTTGTGTGTGAGCAAAAACTAGATTCTATTTCAATTCAAAATGGTTTATTTCAAATAAAACTTTCATCGCGGCGTTTAGCCGAATTACAAAAGTTTACAAACAAAGTTAATAACACATAATGTAATATATAACATAGCATAACATGAGATATTGAATTTGTAAAATAAATCAGTATAAATACGAGAAATATAGCTTATTGCAACATATGGAAACATAAATTAGAAAAAAATCTGAATTAAATAGCATATAACAGCGGTTGTCGAGAAGTGAGATTTTTCCTAAGTATGAAGAGTAACAAATTTTATTTAGATTTGAATCGCGATCCAAATCTCACTAAATTTATATATGTTAAGTGGCCTAATCTCACTATCATCCTTACTATTATTATTATCTCATAATGCATATACAGCTTATGTTTGGAAGAGGTGGATTACCTTGACCACGGCCTTGCTGCTGAGGAGAACACAACGTTATCAAACAAGGCCAATGAGAGTCATCTCCTGAAACCTATAGGTGGAAATACTAAGTACGTTCTTTAATATATAATCGTATTAGTAATGATCTTAATAATAACAATAATAACATTAATAACATTAATAACAATAATAATAATTATGATGATGATAATAATAATAATAATAATAATGATAATGATAATAATGATGATAATAATGATATTAATAATAACAATAACACCTCATCCCGGCAGAAAATTGTGACTGTTATTTTTATATATATATATATATATATATATATATTTTTTTTTTTTTTTTTTTTTTTTTTTTTTTTTTGGGGGGGGGGTTATTTCCTATTTACAAAGTTGTGTGTATTTTGTTTTGTTTTTGTTTTTGATGTTATTGTTACAGGTGTGCTGTTGTTGATGATTTTATTGTTGTAGATATGCTGCATTTCATTGATTTCTTTATAGTGTGTTTATTTGTATGTTGTTGCTTATTTGATGTAGGTGTTGATTTTATTGATGTTTTTTTACCATTTGTTTATTACTGCGTTTAGATGGGTTGTTGATTATGTAGGTAATGCTGTTGTTGTTGTTTTAGTTGAAGTGCTTCCTGCTCATGTGCTCGTTGATATGTTTGTTTTTTCTTCTTTTTTCTCTTTAATAAAATCATCTTTATTCAATATTGCTTTTGACTTTACAAAACATAACAAAACATATATGGATATACATACATAATTGAACTAACATAATCAACAACATTATGGTCTTGATATGGTCTTAATGATGATTTTGTTGTTGATGATGTCTGGGGTGTTGTTAATGTTGGTATTGTAAATTTTGTTGATGATGATGTCGCTGTTGTTGCGCTTTGTATTCAGTACAAAGACAACAATGGTGAATCACAAGATCTGTTTTAAATCACTAATCACGGCACTTTGTAGGGGCTATCTCTAAAAACATGAAAAAGAGGTCACATTTCTGGATGAGAATTTCAGTCCTTTCACTATTTATGAGTACTCTAGACGCAATATGCCCCCCCCCCCGGCTCCCACTAAATAAATTATTGGAGAGCAAGTCAAAAGTCAAAAGTAATACCTGGACAAAGTTCGTTACATTTTTTATTTGATGATGATGATGATGATGATGAACAGCATTTGTATGGCGCCATATATTTGTTTAACAAATATTCAAAGGCGCGACTGACATTGCATTCAAACATTTGCACACAAAGATGGATTCATTTAATGCACACAATGAGGCAAATATTTCCCGACGCCTGAATAGAATTCACTACAATAGACTAAGATCATATAGCCAGAGGGTCCCAGCCTGTAGGGAAAAGAGAAACTACTTTTCATGTACACAGCAATGATCCATGAATAACAAGTGTGGCAGGAAATGGGTGTCCAGCTGCCGTGCACAGATTAGTGGGGGCGGCCAGCCCCTCGGCCCCTAATTGATCTAGATTAGCAAAACAAGTGCCTATACCAACCTGGTGGAAAATGTTTAGCACAACTCTGTACAACTTGAATGGGCACTGCCAGACATTTTGAGTGGTGTGGGTTGCATGGGCCCTCCAGACACACTCAAATGCCAACCGCCCATCTTTGATAGTCAGTGCATGAGGACAATAAAGAATACCTGTCTTGCACCCCTTTTTAGTCACAATAATAACAAAAGAGCAAAATTATCGACAAAGGTAACTGCAACAAACCCGGTGGAAATTGTATACCATGAATGACCACTATCAGACGTTTTGAGGATTTGGGTTGGGCGATCCAGACACACCCAAATGCCAAATGCCCGTCTTTGATACTCAGTTGAGGAACATCACAAACTAAAAATGTGGCAGGAAATGTAACCGGTTGAAACTTGGTAGAAGTTATAGAAAGTAACATCCTGTATTATTAATAATGACCACTGTCCTACGTGTTGAGTGGTGTTTTGTGCTCAACACAACAAACACCCCCCCCCCCCCCACCTAAAAAAAAACTCAATTAACGCCCGCAATTTGCGCTAAAATCGAATTAAAAAAAATACATTGATAGCGAGAAAAGTGACTGGATGAAACCTAATGGAATATGTACAGCATAACTCTCTTTATCATGAATGATCACTGCCTGCTTGTATGTAGAGGAGCAAAGTGAATAAAACACAGTACTCAAAAAGTTCCACACCTGGGCTTAAACCCCGCGGCCTTCGCATTCCCAGTAAAGGGATTCATCACTGACAACGAAACCTCTAGATTAAGAATTATTTAATAACAGATGTCCTTTTGATATTTTATCATTTTGCTTCATGCTATAATTTTCGCAACTTTCTTTTTGTTGATTATAGAATGAAAAATAATTCCATGCTAAGTAAAATCTGGAACTTCAGAGACATCGGTGACCAACTTCTGTATGTTTATGAAAAATTGGTCAAGAAGGATTGGACAGCAAACCAAACTAATGCACATAGCTTGAGGTGAGAGTATGAACTATGCCAGTTGTTAAGCAAACCAAACTAATGCAAATGTTTCGAGGTGAGAGTTTTGTTTTTAAAATATCACTGAGGGAAACAAGCAAAAACAAAAAACAAACAAACTTTAAACGAAAACAGAGAAAGCATGAACACTGGTAGAATAAATGTGATTGTGCGTAAAATATTTTTTTTATTGAGGGCACGTGGTGTAATCACTTCACTTTATTAGCAACATAATACATGACATGCATCGTGGACAGGCGCGTAATGTGTGTGTTTTGGAGGAAACCCCTCCCCCCCCCCCTTCGTTTTTTTATTTATCTTTTAAAAAAAAATTTAATGCTAATCGGTGACCTAAAAAAGGTGACCTTACCCACCCCCCCCCCCCCAACGAACCGAAATGTTGATCGGTCAAATTTTCAAATTTCGGGACCAAAATAAAATAAAAAATATCCTCTTACCCCCCCCCCCCCCCCCCCCCCAATTTATGGAATTAGTTTGACAATGATTTATTCCTAATAGATCTAGATAATAGTATACATTCTCAGATTTTATTGAATAATAATTTGCCAGTGTTTGTTTTGCGTGACTGCTAAAGCCTGTGTATGCTAATATGCTTATCAACTAGGGGACCTACGCCCTTAAGTCATAAATGACAGTAATGAGGATTAATGCCCCATAAAAGGGCACTAATATAGCACATCGACACGGTTTTGATCCTGGTGCCTCACAGTTACGAGGCCATTGCTTTGACACTGAACCATGACTGTACGCAGCGGGGGCTAGGGTAGGGGCAGCTCCCACAAAAAATGCAATAAATTATCAATAATTCATTGAATTTCCCCCGGTCCCCAACAGGAAAAAATCTTCTGTGTGCCCATGCCTTGAGCCATAATGCATGGCCGTACAGGAATATGGAAGTAGTAGTTATGGTATAAGTAGTAGTCGTCATGTTATTCTTGGAAGTAGTAGTAGCAGCAGTAGTACATGGTCATGGGTGTCGATCCCGGGGGGATGGGGGGGATATATCCCCCCCCCCCAATATTTCAGGTGGGGGGGGGATGGCCTGTACAATCATCCCCCCCCCCCAATAATTCACCATCAAAAAAAAAAAAAATGAAGAGAAAAATTAAGGATGAGAGCCCGATGAGAGTAGTTAATGGTTATTACTCGCAAGATACACATTTTGCTATACATTTTGCAATATACACATTTTGCTATCTCATTTTCATAATACATACATATATACGAAGTAAATAAGACAACCGTATATGAGACAAGAATAAATTGAATTCTCGCTCATACGGCTTCATCGGGAATTGATGAATTTATTCAATTTGTTCAATCAACAGCATCATAGAAATGCAGTGCGCCAAATGCAAAGACGCAGCGTCAAAAAGCAACGAGCTAAATGTTAAGCGCGAAGCGCAAAAGTAGCAATCTGCAATGCACATCAGACAATCCTGGACAGTGTAAACATAGATGAACTCTGTGACGATTTCGTGATGAGATCGGAGACAAGGAGAAAGATTTTCGGACATTAGTACGACTTATAAAATAGTTCTCTAGTTGTTATGTTGTTTCCGTTCACCCTTTTTAAAATTCACGTCATTGTATCTTTATTTTTTTGTTCACTCATTTTATTTCCTGATATTTCCTAAAAGATTTTTCATTTTTGGAGAAAGATTATTATGTCACAACTTATTTGTAACACAAATTATTTTCAGTGGGGAAACTGAATTCAGACAAGGATTAATATAGAGAACAGTACAACGAATCGTCTTCTTTCTCTAATAATTCAGTGAAAAGGGCAAAGCTGTTAGGGGCAACTGAATTCAGACATGGATTAAGCGTAATAATCAAATAAAACGTCAAAGTACACGATACAACGAAGCGTCTTCTTTTACGAATAATTTAATGAAACGTGAAAGCTTCCGCGCAAAGCGCGTAATGGGCGAAAATGAATACAGACAAGGATTAAGAGTAATAATTTATTGAAACGTTAAAGCTTCCGCGCTTCGCGCGGTAGGGGGGAAACTGAGTTCATGAAGGACACGATACAACAAATCGTCTTCTTTCACTAATGTGAAAGCTTCCGCGCTTCGCGCAGGAATGGGCGAAAATGAATTCAGACAAGGATTAAGAGTCGAGAATGGTACATAGGATCGTCTTCTTTCTTTAATCATCTAATGAAACATCAGAGCTTCCGCGCTACGCGCGGGGAAGGGGGAATTTGATTCAAACATTAAGGATTAAGAGTCGAGAATGGTACATCGAATCGTCTTCTTTCTTTAATAATCTGATGAAACGTCAGAGCTTCCGCGCTACGCGCGGAGGAAGGGGAACTTGATTCAAACAAGGATTAAGAGTCGAGAACGGTCCAACGAATCGTCTTCCTTCTCTAATAATTTAGTGAAACGTCAAAGCTTCCGCGCTTCGCGGGGGGGGGAACTCCCCCTCCCTGCACGCAACCCCCTAGGGACCGCGCTTCGCGTGCTCACTACCGCCCCCTAAAATGAAATCCTGGCTACGCGCTTGGGAGGGGTGCAACTTGCCACACGCTTCTACCTCTTGATTGCTTTGATCCATTGCCGAAAATATTTTGGCACCTATCATCCCCCCCAACCACGGATACAAATCGACACCCTTGTACATGGTATAGCAGTAGTATCATTGGTAGTAGTGGTATGAGTAGTAGTAGTGGTATTAGAAGTAGTACTCGTCGAAGTAGTAGCAGTAGTAATAGTGGCAAAAGAAGTACTCGTCGTCATCGTTGTCGTATTATAGTAGTAGTCGTCATCGTAGTAGGAGTCGCGGTCGGCGTAGAAGTATTATTAATTTTAGTAGTAGTATAAGCACTATCCCTGGTATTAGTAGTAGTAGTAGTAGACGTAGTAATAGTAGCAGTAGTGGTAACTGTAGTGTCACTAGTTGAAGTAGTTGAAGTAGTAGTAGTAGTTTTGGTTTTAGTACAGTAGTAGTAGTAGTAGTATGAGTGCTCATCGTCGTTGTAGTCGTGGTCGCCGTAGAAGTATTATTATCATTAGTAGCATAAGTAGTATTAGTACTATCGTACTGGTAGTAGTATTATTATTAGTAGTAGTAGTATTGGAAGTATAATTATTATTAGTAGTAGTAGTAGAAGTAGTAGGAATAGTAGTAGTAGTAGTAGTAGTAGTAGTAGTAGTAGTAGGGACTTTTAGAATCGCTAGAAGACAATAGGTCTATGCTACGATCGACGTCCTTTTAATGCACTGCCTTGAATGGACGTCATACGTATCAATCCACGCAAATCTAAAAGTCCCTATAGTATCAGTAGCACTAGTACTGGTAGTAATTTCCCCTAATGATCATTTATGCGGGGAGCCTGGAGGAAGTACGTTGCCTAGAGGACTATAACGGTGAGCGTGGGTGAGGGGAATACAGCGGTGTGTGTGTGTGTGCGTGTGGGTGTGTGAATATGTTCCTGAGTGTGAACATGGACCTATTACAGATGGACATTCAACGTGATTCCTTCTTTGATTCAATGATAGTCACCGCCTTCTGATTATGTGCATCTTAATGAGAACATTCAGCTGTTTTAACAATAACGACTGCGTATATCATTTTCGGGCATTGACAAATGAGCAGTTTCCCTCTCTTGGGTTTTGTTTGGATGGTGTGCTCTGTAAGAGTATGTCTTCAATAAAAAACATCCCCAATGGGAAGCAGCAAAGTCGAAAAGCAGACGATTTTGGTGATATGAAATTTATTATTACTGATTTGCACACTTTTGCACGCACCAATGACCTTATAAAACAATTAAAAGGCCATGATCTTTATAAGCCCTGTGCGTTGTAATTCTGGAATATTATGAGTACATTGGGGAAAACGGGATTTTAAATCACAAACAATCCAAACACAACCTATCTGGTAATATCAACATGTTTTTCAAAAAAAGAACACAGTACACGGAACAACAGTTTCCAATTATTAACCAGAACTGCACATCGATTCCCCATGATTTAAGCGATTTATTATCTTCTGCGCATAAAGATTAACATGTTTAAAATCACTATCTTGATTCTGTCCCGGCTTATTGGCGGTGACCATCATGAGATCAAAGTGAATAAAAATGTACGGAATGTTATTGAGACGACATTGACGGAGACAATCACAATGAATTCGTTAAGTGTTGTTAAGTGTTGTCCAGTCTGTCATATGTTTCTCTTCAGTAGCTTGGTTCAGTGGTTTAACAGGGAAAAATAAGTCTAAACTGACAAGGGTTGTATCACAAGCCAGTAGAATTATTGGAATACCCATGCAACAATTAGAAGACATTGTACAATCAGCCCTCTTGACCAGGCTTGATATCATAATGAAAGATGAATCACACCCACTCCATGATGAGGTGTTTGTAAACAGATCTGGTAGGATTAGACTGCCAAAAGTGAGGATTGAGAGATTATAGACAGTCATTTTTTATTGCAGCATGCAAAGCTTTCAACAGTGAATTTAACAGATGAGCTGTGCTCACTGTTATTTTCAATGCATAGCAGTGCTTAGGTTTTCTTTTGATAATGTGCAATTCATGTGTTTAATACTTTCATTGTGTACACATAATAATAATAATAATATTCATAATAATAATATGTTTCTATAGCGCATCATACAATATGTCTCTATGCGCTTTACATAAACAAAGGAGCATAACTAATGTATCTACATATACCTGGAAGCATTTGTAAGGTCAAAATACAGGGTAACTTCTTCAGGAAATTTTTAACAGAAAGTCCAATATGTGTACACATGATGATTATTCATTAATAATGATACGATTTTTTTATCTATGTTTTAATTTTATACACGTGTAATTTGCGTATGTACATGTATTTAATTTTAATGACGGCAGTGTAACGCATTTGCAGATTTCTCTTTCGTAGGAAATTTATCCTATGACAACTACTTTCTTGTTAAAGTTTTGTCAGAGCCAAATATCTTGCCTTTTCACTAATGAACACAAATATTTGAATTCTGCAATAAAATGATTTGGTTTTGTTATCATATACTGAACATATAATATTTTTTAAATAAAAATGAAACAAAACAATAACAAATAACTCATCTGTCATCTGCAAATGCGTTACACTGCCCTTCACACCCGAGCTTAGTAATTTGTAATTTGCATGAATGTCTCTTCTTCTTCTCTCTTTCTTCCTTTCTCTTCTCTCTTCTTTCAAAGTCGCCGTTGCGTAATAGCTATTTTATACTCAGATAATTTATTGTCTCAATCATCTCCATCCAGGCATTTCTATGCCGGAGCACTTCTCATGTTGATTACAGTGTCCGTGTGTGTGTAGGGCGTGTACGGTTATATATTGTGTGTGTAAGAGGTGTGTATAGGGGTGTGTATAGGGGTGTGCGTGTGTGTCAGTATGTGTGTCTTTGTATGTGTATTGATGATGTATGTGTATGTGTTGATGATTTGTATGTGTGTCGATGAGGGACCTTATGGTGTTTGGAAAAATTCATTTATTAAAAACATATGCATTATGTAAATTAAATTACGTTTTTGCTTCACTAGTGGTTCCAAAGTGGGTCATATCGGAAATACAGAAAATATGTTTTGAATTTATATGGAATGGGAAAGATCGAATTAAGAGATTAATATTGTATCAAGGTTATGATGAAGGAGGGTTACGAATGACTAATTTTGACTCGTTTGTAAAAACCCAACGGGTAATGTGGGTGAAAAGACTATTGTACGGAGAAAAATCTATGAGATGGAAGCTATACTTTGATTTCTGCTTTAAGATGGTAGGGGGTAGATTTTTTTTTTGGTGTAACTATGATTCCAAGTTATTCAGTTTCAAAGTACCTAAGTTCTATTTAGAAATGATCAAAGCATGGGAAGAGTTAGAAGGTTGTAGGAATTTTGAAGAAAAGAATAATCCAATTATTTTTAACAATAAAGATTTCTTATTGAAAAAGAAAATGATTTTTGATGAGGAGTTGTTTACACGCAATATAATTTTAACTCAAGATATTTTTGCTGAAAATGGCATGCGGGCAATATCTCATTTTCAAAATTTGGGGTTAAAAGGAAACAAAATTGTTGATGTATGGAATATTGGGGAAGCTATTTTGAGAAGCGGAAAAAAAGGATAACTGGAGTTTAGTGGATGTAAAAGAGTATGATATTTTAATGCAGTTTAACAGTACTGTGAAGCTCCTCAGAGATGTATTATCGAGGAAGGTTTATGAATATTTCATAGAGAAGTTACAAAATTTATTTGTCTTGAAGATTCATGATGGACGGGAATTTTCAGATTTTTCAAATAAGGTATGTAGGGAGATATTTAGTAGGCCTAGGAAAGTTACTCTTGTTAACAGACTAAGAGAAATTCAGTATAAACTGCTTCATGGAGCAATATATACTAGAGAACATTTATTCAGATTCGGCTTTGTTGTAGATAACTTGTGCTCATTTTGTAAGCGAAAGATAGAAACATATTTACACTTGTTCTGGGAGTGTGTACATGTTCAAATATTATGGCAAAATGTAATGGCTAAGTTTGAGCTAAAGGAATTAAGGTCTATCGACTGGATAAATATTCATTTAGGGTTGTCTGGTAACTCCCCACTAATAAAAATGTTTAATACAATCATTTTTGCATTGAAATATTGGATATATAGATGCAGGGGAAAGTCCGTAATATTGTCTTTGGGGGAGTTTCAAAAAGAACTGTTAGAATTTAGGGAAGAAGAAAAGAATATTGCAGGGAGGGCAGGTAAATTGGCCTTACATTTACAGAAGTGGGAACAAGTAAAGTTTTCATGAACTTTTTACACTGGACTATTGTAGCCTCGTTTAAATGATTTTGTTTTAAATGTTTTAAATAGATTGTTTCGGTTTTGTCTGTCGCTCCAATTTGGGGTATTCTGAGGGGGCTAGGCACAGTGTGTGGTGGGAGTGTGGTCGGGTGGAGTGTGTGTCGCATGATGGGGAGGGGGGGGGGTAGTAGTAGTAGTGTGTTTGGTTGGATGGGGTTATTTGTTTTATGATACAACTGATTTCATTTTTGTTTTCATCAATTGTAAAATGTATGTAATGTAAATGTTTTGAATTTATGTCAAGGAAAAAAAAAAAGTACTTTATTTCTAAAAATTAATTTGTATTGTTTGGAATCAATAAAAAAAAAACTATTAAAAAAAAAGAAAAAAAAAGTGTTGATGCGTGATAGCTGGAGAGGTGTTCCGGCGTGGAAGTGCCTGGATGGACGAGATCAATAACAAAACAAAACAAGCTTTTTAAACTGCACTGCCTTTTCCTCAGTTTTTATCTTATTCTTTTAATGCAACCTTTCTTAAAATTGTGATGATTGTTAAAAGTTATGTTGAAATGTAATTATTTTGTCTGTATTTATATATTTATATATTCATGTACGTGTATAGCACCTTTAAATGTCCGAAGGCAAATTTTATGTATTTTTTACATGACAATAAATTATCTTGAATCTTGAATCTTGATGAATGTCCATTCGTAATAGGTCCATGGTGTGAATAAGTATAGCGTATCATTTCGTTAAAACGAGAAAAAATATTATTATGGTAAATGCGCCACTTTTCTACCATTCGTTCTTTTACTATTGTTGTTGCTGTTTGTCTTATTTCTTTTTCTCTAGACAAGAGCTTGCGAGATATCGACCAGAACTTAACGATAGCACAACCATTATTCTTCATCAAAAGAACGTCAAAATAAACGAAACTATAAAACAAGTTTATTCGAAAGAGCCAATAAAAATCACGCCCGAAATATTTCATCGACTTTCAAAGGTAAGATCGTGTTGATAATCACGGAGGGTGTCGTTTTTAGAGGACAAGGAGAAGTCCTCTGCTACTTTCATAGGTCACGCATGAATGAACAGACTTTTATATTTGCCTATTATTATTATCTAGTATGTATATATTCACTACACCTGAGTGCATAGTGGAAAATATATAGAATTATGCGATGCCAAAGGATATTAGTGCCGAAACGGGATTCGATCCGTGAACCTTATGTGATCCATATTAAAGCAGAATTTAGATTATTAACGAAGGATATAATTTGTCCCCTAAACTTTCCTCTCAAATCCGATTAAAATAGAATGTTATATCAATGGGAAGCTGAATTAATGTATAATACAAATAGAAAGGAATAACAGTTATCTACCCTTTCAGTAATGCACAAAAGCAAATTAAAACCCCATTTTCCGTACCTCTCCAAAAACCGCTTAACAGCTAGTGGTTATTTAAGTTTGTCGCAGTTACGTTGACGACAATACATGTGGACTCGGTCGGCTTGCCCATATAGCAGAGGCGACAAGCCGAGCTTAATTAATGCAAAATAATTGTTAACATGCGTATTCAACATAAGATGATGTCATCAAGTCGATAGATATTTTTTAGGTCGACTACTTCCGATTTTTTAAGCTTTAGATTTCGAGTTTTCAGAGAGCTGTTACTCCTCTGATCTTGACATACATTAAATGCATATATATAGCTTACCGTTGATAGATAACTCATCTATTTCATTTGTCATTTCTGACTAGGTGCTCAAGAGAAATGTAGAATTACACCATATTTAATGTCAATTACATACTTCAAGGAATAAGTTGTATGTGTTAATGCTTTTCATGAATGTTCAACGTACGCTGCTGGCGTTTTAATTTTTTGATGATTATGCATTAAGCGTGTTATTTAATTTTTTTAATTTGCTATATAACTTTGCACTGAATTTCAAAAATAGTTATGTTACATTAAATCGCATGACTTTGCATGTTTGAAGAAATATGATATAGAAATCAATATATCAAAACAAATCAGATCAAAACAAATCAGATCAAATCAAATCAAACTTATTGAAATCAGATCTAAGGTCTATAATTTTCCAAAGGGGAAGAAAAAAAATGTTTTCATGAAGCACCTCCATCACTATGGCATTGATTATTCTAAAGATGCACAATGTGAGACGTCTACATGATTATGTAAAATATCTGCCAATATTAGGGGATTAGGGTGTAATATTGCAGCTCTTGTTGTTTTGCTACATGTTGCTTTATTTCCACTCTAAGAGTGATCCAATAGGTCTACCAAAGGGAAAGAGATATCACTCGTGTGCACTTGTCGGAAACAGCGGTTCAATTCTACACAGTGGCTGTGGAGAACGTATTGATAAACACGACTATGTAATAAGGTAAACAATTTTGTTGGGAAATCCAAAGCAGTAGCAATGTATGACATAGTAGTCGCAATCACATTAGTAATATGTTTAGTAATATTGATAATTGTAGTAGTAGTATTAATGTTAGAAGTGATAGTAGTAGTAGTAGTAGTAGTAGTAGTAGTAGTAGTAGAAGTAATAGTTGTAGCAGCAGCAGCAGCAGTAGTATTAGTACCGGTAATGATATAGTTGTGGTGGTGGTAGTAGTAGTAGTAGTAGTAGTAGTAGTAGGAGTAGTAGTAGTAGTGGTCATGGTAGTAGAAGAAGAATAAGAACAAGAAGAGGACGAGGAAGGAGAACGAGGAGAAGAATAAGGGAGAGGAGACATATAAAAAGGGAGAGAGAGAAAAAGAAAAATTCTGTAATATCAGTAATAATCATGGGTGTCGATCCGTAACTGATACCTATTCATCAGGGGGGGATGATCTATTCATTCATCCCCCCCTGATGAATAGGTATTACGTAAGGATCGACACCCATGGTAATAATATAGCATTAGTAATATTAGTCGTAGTAGTAGAAGTAGTAGTAGTAGTATTTGTAGTAGTTTTCTAATAGTAATCTTCAAAGAGCTATATGCAGCCTTTCATAAAGATCGCAAGCGGGTTTGAGGGAGACAATTGAGGTTTAATGTAATAATAGACATTACAGTCGGATGTAGCAATGTCATTCACATTTTGTTTGATCCCATCTTAAATATGACTGTATCAAAAACAGTGTAAAATTGTAAACATGCTCAATTCAGCCTATGGCTGCAATGCACTATACTTTATAAAGACTTATTTAATCAATTATTGAATTGAATTGAGATGACTCAGGCAGTAGTCCTGTACATGAACTGTCAATATTTATTTGCTTGTAGGCTGTTGTGTTCAGGAATAGAATGTTGGGCAATGGCAAACAACCTCCTGTCTCGGTAGATCTACTGGGTCTCGTCTTATTTTTTGTACGAGATTTGTTTAAGGTAAATAATGCTTCAAAAGGAAAGGAAATATATTGCATTATATTGGGGTTATGTAAAGTCACATATCTAACATGGCTGCAATTTTTGGACCGGTCGATCGGTATAGAATTACAAGTTGTTAAATAGGTTACATAAACGAGCTGCGAATCATTATGATATCCAAAGGTAGTTGGCAGATTTCATCTGAAGATGTTTGTACTAAACTTTCATGGCAACCTTTGAATAATATTTTATCTCTCAAAGCATTATACTGCATGATCCACAAAATGTGATAAAATCTTGTTTTTTGATGATGTATCGACCCGCACTACGAGAAACACGAATGAGATGAGGCTAAGGGTACCCTAACGTAGAGCTACATTTTGTAAAGCCTGTCTGTACTAGTTTGGCCAGGGGGGATTCGACCTTCCTGCAAGGTCACTGACAGGCGGTTATCTCATAACATCAGCTCTCAATTAACATAAGAAAAAGGGGATCAAGGGGGACCAACAGGAACCGATTACGCATTGTTTGCTATATAGAGGGCGCAAGTAGCTATAAGTAGTGCAGTGAGGCTTTAAATGAAAATTGAATCATTTGTAAAGGCTCCACCAGCTGGAATCAGCTTTCCAAATATTTGCGTTACATGGCTAACATAAAGGCTGTCAAAGCCAATCTTTTAGATCACACCGTATGTTTCAAATTAGATTTCAGTAATATACAGTGCGTCCCAGAAAAAACGAAACCGATAATTATCGATGTTTTATCATAACTTAATCACAATTATATTTAACAAATGACACATAATTATTTGGAAAGCTTAGATCCTCTTCTTTCATTTGATGCAACTCATATGATTCATATCTCACGCATGAGTGATTAAAAGCAATTTGAAGAGAGGAAACCAAAAAGTCATTTGGCGGGCGGTATCTTAATTTTAAAAAGAAAATCACATTTCTAAAAAGTTCAATTTCTGCCCTTTCAAATGACACCTCAATCAGGAAAAATGAGCCAGGAATAACAAAGTTCTGTTTGTTTAAAGTAAGGCTTGCATTTCCATAATTTGATCAAACGAGTTCGTTTTCACTGGCTACCTGCCGTAGCAACAAACAGAGTAATTGACAAAAGACTTAACTCCGTTTCGTTGACGATCAGCCATGCACACAGAAGACTAAAGACCTGATGCATGGCTGATCTTCAACGAAACGGAGTTAAGTCTTTTATCAACTCTGTTTGTTGCTACGGCAGGTAGCCAGTGAAAACGAACTCGTTTGATCAAATTATGGAAATGCAAGCCTTACTTTAAACAAACTGAACTTTGTTATTCCTGGCTCATTTTTCCTGATTGAGGTGTCATTTGAAAGGGCAGAAATTGAACTTTCTAGAAATGTGATTTTCTTTTTAAAATTAAGATACCGCCCGCCAAATGACTTTTTGGTTTCCTCTCTTCAAATTGCTTTTAATCACTCATGCGTGAGATATGAATCATATGAGTTGCATCAAATGAAATAGGAGGATCTAAGCTTTCCAAATATGTGTCACTTGTTAACTATAATTGTGATTAAGTTATGATAAAACATCGATAATTCTCGATTTCGTTTTTTATGGGACGCACTGTACAGTGCGTCCAAGAAAAAACGAAACCGAGAATTATGTCTTATTTTGAAATTGTATATGTGTGTAATCGTTTGCTACCCGAACAAGCTTCTTTGTGTACGTTTATGTGATTTAACTAAATAGATACACAATAAGTAGTAGTAGTAGTAGAAGTCGTACAATGAATAGTAGTAGTAGTAGTAGTTGTAGTAGTAGTATTAGTAGTAGTACTAGTAGTAGAAGTAATGGTTATAGTAGGTATAGCACACCAAAAATAAGTACAACAAACACATGTTATCTGATGATTGCAAATGATCAAGCTTTATAAAAGCTTCAAAAACAAAAAACAGAATTGAAATCGGTCAATGCGTTGTGATTTTACCATTTTTTTGATATCGCAAAAATTACCGAAAAACCTGCCAGAAATGGTCAAATTGGCAAAAATGGCAAAATTCGACAAAGTTGACAACTTAATTCATCACTTTCTTGGACACAAATAATAAATTAAAATATCATCTTTGTGGTAAAAAATACAAAAAAGAAAATTCATATACCTATACCGTTTTGAAAACAGAAGCCAACAAAATAAGTCATTTTTGCCATTTTTGCGAATCTGCAGATATGAAAAAGTTGTGAAAATAACTAAGTCCGCCTAATTAATATGCGCATATGTAATCAAATCTAAACCGAACATGATACATCAGTGAAACCTATGTATATCAGACAGGTATGGAAATATATTTCATTTGAAATATTAAAAAATCATGAATTATTCATCAAATATGCAAATTAGGTCATTTCAGCTAATTATATATTCGCGCACTCATTATGCAAATTAGGAAAGTCAAACCGTTCATTTTTTGGGCATTTTTTAAATCATATATTCATAGATCATATTTACACCAAATATTAACCTTAAATTCCAAATATTTTTGCAATGCCAATAAAATATGGCGATGGAAATTACTTGGATCACCATCACAGCTATTTCCTCATGTGTTTTACTAATTATTTAGAAAAACCGATCATATGATAAGAATTTGCAGACTTTCAGCTACATCACAGTATATTTGTATTTTTAAAAAATGTCAGATTTGAGGATTTATGACGATTTTCAGAGAAACCATTCAACAGGCCATAACATTCTACAGGGACTGAATTTCAGAGTAACAAAAAATTTGGTGATCCCAGTACAGTTGTGGCTACCTTGAGTGTAAACAACAATTTGATTCAATGAGTGAAACACATGAGGATATTGCATTTTTTGTAGGGGAGTTTTATACATTGAGGTGCATTTTCACCACGCAGAATAACAATGCGAGTCAAAGGGCGATCAGCGGGCCATGTCACACATGGCTGAAAAGACAATATTCTAATTAAATAATTTAACATATTTCCCACATGCCTATAACAATGAAACTACACAGAATTGTAGTTAAAGGTATGCTTGAAATATATGTGAAATAAAATTTTTAAAATATTGTTTAGTTTTTTAAAAATAAATTTACAAAAATTGCTATTTATACCAACTGACTGCTGTTGTGTGTGTGTGTGCATGGGGCAGACTGTGTGCACAGGCATTGTGATCACCCTAGTAGTAGAAGTGGTAGTAGTAGTAGTAGTAGTAGTACTAGTAGTAGTAGCAGTGGGGTAATGAGCAAAAAACTTTTGTTTGGGGGGGGTGGGGAGTCAGAACAAAATCCGTATCACCACCAAGTAGCATAATGCAGGGGCGGCGGAACGTCTTCCAAAATAGGGGGGGGGGGGGCAACAACAAAAAAGGGGCACCTACAAAGGGAAACATAAAAAACATGCATTGGTATAAACCCCTACATCGTCATGATTGCGATTACACTACCAGGGATGATATCGCTATTTTGTTTTAATTCTTACGTGGAACATGATACTGCTTAATTAAGCAAAATACTGTGCTGTTGGGTGTAATAGTCTGAATTTTCGAGCGAGCGAAGCGAGCCAGCAAAAATGTTAAGATTTGTGAGGTTCCAGTGCAAAAAATTACAACTTACAAAGAAGGAAGAAAAAACACCCTGATGAGTATTAAGCACAATCTAATGAAAAAAGAGTGAAAAGTTCTTTCATAAGTAACATACTTATAACATCTATAAATGGAAGCGAGCGTAGCGAGCGAGCGCTAGGGAAAATTAAAGAGAAAGGGGCTCTGAATCACCTTGAATTAGGGGTGCAGGTTATGGAGAAAGGAAAAGTAGGCACTTATCAAAAGGGAAAAGGACAGTTATTAGAAAAGAAAAGGTGCTCGTGTCAAAGTAAAAAGGGCTATTATCAGAGATGAAAATGACACTTGTTGCACCTGAAAAGGGACACTCGACAGGCACTTTTGAGAATGGAAATGGGGAATCTGTTGAAGGAAGAGGACACCTATCTGATTTTAATAGGGGCATTTATCAGATGTTAAAAGGGGCATTTTGATAAGGGGGAGGGGCTCATATCGAAAAAAAAGGGGCCCTTATCCATATAGTACTTACATATAGCTCCGTTTAGTCTCATTGGACAACGCCCCCTATCGTCAGAGTCCAGCAGCCTAACATGTTAGCCTATGGACCTTTACCCCCCAAAAATCGTTAAAAATCCTTTTTTTTTGTTTAAACGAAAAGTACATCCACCCCGACGTACCTTGAAACTAGCTCTTTCATTGGAACCCTCATGTCTCATTGATTTTTGAAAGTTCACCCATCGTAATTTGTCAAAATAGGTCGCAAGCTCGCCATTGCCTAAACATGTGCAATAAGTCAAACTTTGGACGCAATTTGCCACGCGATTGTAAGGTTATAGCTCAAGCACACGAAGGGTAACAAGCATGAATTATTATAGATCAGTTCTGAATGGTTCATTATGTCCATTTCAGCCAACCCCGCACCGTAATTTTTCCATTTAGTATAGGCAAGCATTTTGCCGAGGTAAGCAAAAACATGAATATTCATGAACGCCATGGACTATTCGATTATTTACAGAGGGGTGCAATTGTGCACCACATCAAACTCCCCTACTGTCAGTCAAGTATTTCATTGCATTATGTAGTTTGGTAGGTTTATCTTACTAACTGTTTAATTATCAGATATCGATGATAGTTTAAAGTTATGGAAAAGGTTCTTGTATTTTATATTTAGCGAAGCAATCTCACATACATCGATATCAAGTGTCGTCTGATCCGCCGATTGCCGTCTGCTATATACGTTCAAGGCACATTTATCTGTGGACTGTGATGTACACAGTTTACTCGTCATTGTAGATTTATGATTAGCCATCTGTCATTTATTAGTCTTTAATTATTGACACACATACAATTACCACAATAGCACACATGAACACTCTCACTTCCCCTCCCAACACACCATTTCCGCACACCCGGTTCACACATCATACCCAGTGGCATATACACCCTGCAACATATTGGAACATTCTAGTTTGGTAGTGACGGCGAACTAGCTACGTTTGTGCTGACAATGGTCCAGCGAGCGAAAATGAGACAACCGGAGCAATATACTAGAAAGGAAAAGGGTCACGTGTCAAAATAAAAGAGGCACTTATCAGAGTTGAAAAGGGGCATTTAAGAGAAAGGGAAGGGGGTTCTTATTAAGAAGGAAAAAGTACACTAATCAAAAAGTAAAGGGGCACGAGTCAAATTAAAAAGGGCACAAATATCAGAGGTGAAAAGGGGAATTTCTCGCACCTGAAAAGACGTACTCACCAGAAATAAAAAGAGAGGAAAAGGACAGTTATTAGAAGAGAAAGGGGGCACTTGATCTATGTAAAAATGGGCTTTTGGGGAGTACCTGAAATAGTGGGGGCACAGTGCCCCCCCCCCCCCCCGGGAGTGCCGCCTCTGGCATAATGGGCAAAAGTGAGAGAAAAAATCCGGAAAATCATGTCATTTCAGCATCATTTGTATATCATTGGTATCGAATAAGAAATATACCACGTTTGAATTTTATTTGGGGGTCAACTGCCCCCAAGCCCCCCCCCCCCCCAATCAATACGCCAGTGAGTAGTAGTAGAAGAGGCAGTAGTAGCAGCATCAGCAGCAGCAGTAGTAGTAGTAGTAGTAAAGAAGTGGTAGTAATAGTAATAGCAGTAGTAGTAGTTGTAGTAATAGTAATAATAATAGTAGTAGTAGTAGTTGTAGTAATAGTAATAGTAGTAGTAGTAGTTGTAGTAAAAGTAATAGTAGTAGTTGTAGTAATAGTAGTAGTAGAAGTAGTTGTTGTAGAATGAGTTGATAGAGGAGGAGGACGCCGACGACGAGGAGGAGTGGTGGTCGTGATAAAAGTAACGGTAGAATATTATAATGTAGATATATCTGCTGTGACTCATGGTCATCCAATTCATTCATCACAGATGTAACTTGGCACCACTCGCACCGTTCAAAGTAGATGCTGGTCTGAAAAATGATTACATTACGATGAATCCAAGCATAATACGCACAAGGTGAGATTTCATATTGATCAAGCACTGGTTGGTTCATTCATTTGTCTCTCAATCAAGCTAAAGGTTGAGGGTTCGAATCCCAGCCCGGCACTAATGTCCTTTTGCTAGATATGAATCCACACACACTTGCGTACAAATGAGTACCTGGCAATTGCATGATTGGGTGATGATAATTGCAGTACTCGCAGGAAGAACAACATTAACTGATGTAGTTACTCTGGGTGACGACCCAAATATTCACTGATCAAAAGAAAAGAAAAAGTAGATACTTCGTACGTTTGGTGCCAGAGTATTTTTAAATAGTGCGCCCTAAACTCCGGAATAAAACAAACTACCAGCAAACTAACTTCTCCTTCTTCTTCTTCTTTTCTTCTCCCTTTTCGTTTTCTTCATCTCCTTCTTCCTCCTTTTGTTGTTGTTGTTGTTCTTCTTCTTCTATTTCATCTTCCCGATTAAATCAATATTGTTATTAGTAATATAAGTTGTATTATTTTGTACCAAAATGATTTGTTTAGCCGTTTAAGGGGTTAGGCCCGATTAGCACATGAGCTATTATCCGGCCCCTTTTACCAACCAATAATTTCTCTTCTTGTATAAATTATGTAAACACATCACATGAACATGTATTACTGTATTGACGTTGGTAAATAAATCAAATCGAGTCAAATCAAAATCAAATTATCAGCGTTATTATTATCGTTATTAGTAAAATTATTTCATTATTATTATTACCATTGTTATCATGATTTTGTTCGTGTTATTGTTATCATGATTGTTTTTATTATCATAATTGTGATTAATAATTATTCTTTTTATTATCATTATTGTTATAGTTAATATAACTATGATTATTATCCATATTAATAATGCCATTACCAATATTATTGTTAGTATATTTCGTTGTGGTTTTTATGGATATCATGTATTTCATTTGTTATCTTATCATCGTCAACTGCATCTTACACATCATCATCATCTTAATTCATTGTTTTGTTTTATCATGTTTCTTTTCATTTGGCCCCTGGGAGCAGATATCGCAGATTCCGGACAAGGAAGGCGATCAAGAAATTTAATGTTGACGTTTCAAAATACAGCGGCATCTTGAGCATACCCTGCTTTGGGATACGATTACCTGAGGTCATGAAAGCCTTTAAATTGTTCAAAGGAAAGAAACCAAAGATGGCATGCATGAATACCAAACACTTCCAATCAGTGATAGATTTCTGGGGAAGCACTGGTGCAATAGATAAAGGATTATCTACTGGTAAGCTGCCTTTGAGTTACTTTGGTTTTGGGTCCCGTAACACAAGTGTAGCGATCGATCGTACGATTACAATTTGCGATCGATTGTGCAATCAAATTATTCTAACGAATATTTTGGGGTTTGGCTTCCATGTTTAGATGAAACTTCTGAAATCGTTTTTTCACATAAGTGTTGAAAGATTTTAAAAAGTCAGTCTTATGTCTCATTTTCATGGAAAAACGGTTGGGAGAAATTACTGTTAGAAGGTGTCGCACAGTGATGCCTTCAAAGAAAACCATAAATATCTTTGTGGTTTGAGAATGTTTTCAGAATTTTGTGCATGTTATAGAAATAGTACAGTGAAAGGAATATAATAAGTAACGTTTCATTAAAAGATTAGGGCCTACGTCGTTTTTCTTGAAAAATAGTTATTTTGTTGTTGTTGTTGTTAATTTCACAGGGTTCTACATGGTTTCAATGGCCATACAGCTTTGTGATGAAATAGACCTCTACGGTTTTTGGCCCTTCTCTTCGCGTTTTGAAAGCAACAAGACTGACGTAGCCTACCATTACTTTGACAACATCCGGCCCGACACGGCTGAAAAGCACCATGCTATGGATCAGGAATTTAGCATTATTGTTCAGCTCCACAATCTAGGCATTGTCAATTTAAATATTGGATCATGTTAATCAGAACACAGGCGGAGATTTACAACAACAAAAAATCCATATAAATGAAATTCTAACATGACAATGCCGTATTAATGTAATCACATTATGATTGTTATTCTTCTGTGATCACAGAAGAATAACAATCATAATGTGATTACATTAGCCTAATACGGCATTGTCATGTTAGAATTTTATTTAAATAGGTGGCGCACAAGGCTATTGAAATTGATTATTAGGTAGATTTTTCGAAAGTAGTTGCGGTCGTACAATAAAACAAAAATAAGAAAGAAGGAGAAAAAGATCTCTGAGAACAGTTAATTTGCATATTAGGCATTTTTCGTGAATTTCTCATACTTGGATTACTTGAAACTTTTAATATGTTGTTCAAGGGAGCTTACACTATGAACACGACGGACAAAGAAAGAGGACAAAATATACAGTTCCTCATTCTACCCTCAACAATTGCTGTGGTAGATAAAGGAACATCCCTTCACTGCTATTATGTAAAAATGTGTAGAACAGGTGAATATGCATGTGACACCTGTTCTACACATTTTTTTATATAATAGCAGTGAGTGATTGGATGTTCCTTTGTCTACCTGAGGAACTATATATTTTGTCCTCTGTATTGTAGTAGAATACATCATTTCGCAATTACAAGTGGGTCAAACACTGGACTAGACTAATTATTATCATAATTGATAAAGCCCTTATAAATATCATTACAAAAAGAAGCAGATGTTGAACTTAATTGTTATGACAAAGTATGATGCTTTAAAGCCCCACTGCACTACTTGTAGCTACTTGCGTCCTCTATATAGCAAACAATGCCTAATCGGTGACCATTGGTCCCCCATGATCCTCTTTTTCTTATGTTTTTAAGTGAGAGCTGATTTGATGAGATAACCACCTGTCCAGTGACCTTGCAGGGTGGTCTAATCCCACCTGTAAACTAGTAGGCCTTCAGATGAGCTTTAAGTTACTGATTTTTTTAAATAATTCAACTCTATTTAGTTTGTTTAAAGCATCATGGAGACCAACCGTGCGTTAACGTCTAAACCTAAATCATTAATCATGCAAATTTTGACAATATTGCTCCGTGTCCTAGACTTCGCTCACCTAATGCTACGGTCACAAAGGTTCGTACGAACGATAATTTCGTACGAATCTCCCTGTTTTGCCATTGACTTCCCGAATTTCCATTGTCTAAAAATCGTTCGTACGGCCGGCGTTCGGAGACTTGACTTTGTACATGATTCGTAGCAGTACAATATACACTGACTATTATTAGTAAGAATTTTGTAACCTTAGTTAATAATAGTTATTATTATAATTTATGCAACACCTACGTGGATCCTTGTCATTTGATTGGAGGATTGTTGTTCACATGATATTCAATAGATTTTCTATTGCACGGGCGTGCATTTTTGGTTCGCCGTGCATTTTTGGTTATATGCAGACTGCGTACCTCTCTAGATCTGTCGTGCGCGGATCTCTGCGTGTATCTGACGCGAAGGCAATCTGAATGTAATCGAGAAGGCTTGACTCCAACTTTAATTTATCTTTAATAATTATAAGGAGTAAAGCATAATTTGTTGATTAACGTTCTATTAGATCTTCTTCGATGTTGTATAAAACAAATAATTAATGTTTTTCATTTGTTCAATAGTGCGAATATTTTCATTCGTTGAAAGATTAACAATAATTCTATTCAACTCGGCTGACGCCTCGTTGAATAGAATGTTAATCTTTCAACTCATGAAAATATTCGCACCATTGAACTCATAACCCTTCATTATTTGTTTAATAATAATAATAATAATAATTTTAAAAAACCGTAGTTAATAATAACAACTCTTTTAACGAGCAATATATATTCAGAAGATGACTTGTGTGTGTGTGTGTTGTTTTCCTTTTTATTAAGTAAAACTAGCCTAAAGAGGATATGGCAGACAGTTTATTCTAAATGAGATTTAAAAAATGATCACGATATACGATCATGACACTCAATTTGTCGCGGTCTTAGAAAATATAGATATACGCATTATTATTGTATGTTGTTATCTATCAAACGATAGTTAATAACTTTGTTTTGATTGATCATTTTGTACCTGAAGTTGATTGTTATAATTATGTTCCTACTACCAGGCGCGTACGCAGGATTTTATCAAGGGGAGGGGGGGGGTTAACATTTTTAAATCGGGCCGAAAATTTCACAACGACTCACCCAGCCGCTGAATAAGCCGGGGGGGGGGGGTAAGAGGACACTTTTTTTAACCCCCCCCCCTGCGTACGCGCCTGCCTACTACTGATTATGCGATTGCTTGATTGTACAATTATATTATGCACTGCTTTTGTACATACTCTGATTATGTTGTATAATTGTGTTTTTAAAGAATTTATTAGTCTCATTTAGTTGAGACTTTTGTTGTTTTAAATTTTATTTTTGCTCTCTTATTTTCGTGGTTGTTACTTTAGTCTGCTTGATTGTGCATTTGATCGTGCAGTTTGTAATGCTTTAGTACTGTTTAATTTTTCCTGTTGGTTTAATTATAATTAAATCATTTTTTATTGTGTTCATTTGTTCATCTGTTTTTAATATTGCAATATTGCATAGGCCAACATGTAAATTCAATGGTAATTTGATTATCCTTATTTCATTGTTCATTTTTAATTTTTCTGATTGATGATTGATGATTTTTGTAAAACTTAATTATTGCAATAAATTGTTCAAACTAGATTTTGACTATAATTTCCCCAGTTCAACAGCTGAAAATTTACCCGGGGGTGGGGGGGGGGGGGTACTCACATATTAAGACATACATGGGTGTGCCGCTCTAATGGGTCATTTTTAAACAAAAATATCACTAAACATGGGTCGGTTTTTCAAAAAAGAAAAGAAAAAAGAAATCGGGTTTTTGCATGGCGAATACCCGAAAATTGTTTTTAAAAAAAGAACCAATATTTCAAAAAACATCTGCCAAAATGACCCTTAAAAATGGGTAGGGTTTTGAGGCTTGAACGGCACATATCCCGGCGTCCAAACCAAATCTGAGTCCCCCCCTGGGAATATTTAGACTCAAATTCCGATGGATGAAGGAGAAGAAAAGAAGAAGAAAAAAAAAAAGAAAAAAAAAGAATGATGTTGATGATGAAGATGATGATGATATTATATATACACACACATACACACCCACACATATATCATATATATATATGTATTTACATATAGAGAGAGAGAGAATGAGAGAGAGAGAGAGAGAGAGAGAGAGAGAGAGAGAGAGAGAGGAGGAGGGGAGGGGGGGGGGGGCTTGGTATAAACGGTTGTGTGTGCAAACGTGATAAGATAAAGGTGAGTTCTGGTTTTTAAAAAAAAAGAATTCTCACAGAATCAAACGAAACTTACACTTGTTCAAGATTACAAATAAATGTTATTTGCCAAACAATTTTGGTAGAAAATGTATACTGGCTGAGTAATGAGCATAGAAAGATTAAAGGGGGGGGGGGGGATGTGAGCACTATTTTTTTTTTTGGGCCCTCGAAAATTGAATCGCACCAACAACTTTTTGCGTAGTCTTGCAGATCAGGCATTTATAAGAATTAAATCAGTAAATAAAAAGAAACACAATGAAAAAATTAACTTAGATATTTAAAAAATGTCAAATATAGGTGTTTAGCTAGTCTTGCATATCAGTCATTTATTTATTGAAATGCAAAACAGTATCCATTTCTTTTTTTGTATGGAATTCAGTTTGTAAATGTTAGGCCATTTAAAAAAATATACATGTTTAGCGTCCCCGCCCGCTTCCTTTTTGGGGGCCGCCTCCTATTTTTTTTTTTTTTTTTTTTTGAAATTTTTTTTTTTTATATTTTTTTTGAAATTTTTTTTTGATTTTTTTTTTTTTGAAAGAAAAAAAACATGAAAAACACTGCTAAAATGGCTCTATTTCTGATTTTTTTTTTTTTTTTAAATTTCGGCGGCCATCTTGAAAAAAAATAGCCCCGACTGTCAGGGAAAATGTACCGAGCGGCCATTTTGAAATAAAAAATAAAAAGGGCCTCCTCCTTCCTATTTTTCGAAAAAACAGGACGCTAAACATGTTTTTTTTTTTATTTGGCCTTAACTAGTCTTGCATAACTGTCGTTAAATTACAAATAAAAATTAATTGCCATTTTACTTAATCAGACACACGTTTATGTATTCGTTAAGTATTGCTGAAAAAGTGTAGGGGAGCACATGCTTTTTCATGTTTTTTTTTTATACATTTTGCCAAAACAAATTGAAATTATCTTGTATTGTCTATACCAGTCTGGAAAATGTATTCACCGGCATATATGCCATCTATAATGGTTGTTATCACATCCACACAAATTTAAATTTAAGGAAGGTCACATTCTTTCACATAACATGCCCTTCTTTAGTTCAAAATAAATGTGTCACTCTCATAATCAGTTATTATCCAATTAAGACAGCAACAAGACATACCCAATCAACATCCACTCACACAACTTTCACCCGGTTCAACTTTTCTAAAACTTCGTTTTTGATGCTAATAAAAAAGACAAAATATAATTAAAAAGTTTGATATAAAAGTCAACATATTTATTACTTTTCAATACACTAGCAAACAATAATAGTAGTAACAATGAAGGTATTATGGTGAATTCAACAGAGATGGTTCCTTGCGGCATGGGTCTGTGACACTCAGTGTGCTGATCCTATAAAAGCTCCACCCCCCCTCTTTGTCTCTCAGGCGCGTATCCAGGGGGGTCGAGCGGGCCTTGCCTCCCCCCCCCCCCCCGCAAAAAAAGAGAGAGAGGGAAGGAAAAGAAGGGAAAGGGAAAAAGGAGAGAAAGGGAAAGAAAGAAGAAAAGAAAAGGGGAAGAAGGAGACCGGGGGCGAAAGGGCATTGCGTCGCAGGCTGTTGCCTCCCCGCCCACCCCCCCCCCCCCCTATAAAAAAAAATAAGAAAGAAGGAAGGAAAGGAAAAGAAAAAAGGAAAAGAGCAGATAAAGGG